CAACGTGACAGCGTCACAACGGGCGGCTCTCACGGAAGACAAGACTACTTGGCAACTGACACCGCCTCCCGTGGATTGCGAATCTTGCATCAATTTTCTCTTGTGAAAAAACGCTTGTCTTGACATTTGAGGCTCCGCCACGATGTTCTGTCGCGTCCCGGTCGCCACCACCAACCACCGGGAGCACATTAGATCCGGGTGGCTTTGAAAGACATCGCGGGGACCGCGGCCTCGTCCGCGATAGGTCCGACTGGCAATGCCTTCCAGGCAACCCCATGCTCGACCTCGGGAGTTTTCGCGATAGAAAAAGCGGGATGTTGTTGAATGGAATGCGAGTGATTTTTTTTCTTTCACAGTTACTCTTTTGGATTTCGGAAATGCCCCAATTGAAGGAAAAAACTGGATGGAGTTGTCGAGCCAAATCTCGCTTTCAAAATACGTCATCACGGATTTGGTAGGTAGCATTGTAATGAGCACCCGGAAATGCGACCTACCTCTTGCGCGAACCGAGGGAGGTTTATCCCTGTTTTTGAAGAAGAAGAAAATGTAGAAGTGTTTCTCAGACACCGGACGATTCAAGCATGATTTTCACTCAACAACAAACAAAAAAACAAACGATTAGGGGAATAGGAAAAGGGATGAACTGCACTAGCACACGACCAAGCCTATGCACTGGGGAATCGGGACATTGGCCACGCAGTGACAGACACGTGGGTTGCTTGCTTCACCGCACAGTAAATGATGAAAAGTTGGGATTCACTTGCCTCGACTCTTCTTCACCACGTCGGAACTCGACCGAGCCTCCGGGGCCAAGATCGTCTTTAATCGGGAGCAGCAGTTTGTCCGTGACGTGGGATTCTTCAAGGACCGGGCCAACAAACTCATCCAGACTTCCGGGACGGGCTCCCTCGCCAGGCGCAGCGTCACAACCAACACTGTCACCACCCGCGCGCTTGCCCACACGGCGGACCCCGTTTGCTCCCTCGCGTAGCCCTGAACTGTCATCAGGTCGCAGCCATCACCCACTGCGACGACTTGGCTCATTACTTGGCTGACTTATTATTCAGCTATTACACAGGCGAGTTATAGCGCTAGCATGTCTCCTGCCAGGGCGAGTCAGTTTCCCGTCCCATCCCTGTATTCAACTGCCAGGGGGGCTCGCTTGTAGAAGACTCCAGGAACACACTGTAAAAAACGTGAAACTGGCTCCATCCCGTCAGTCGTCCATCAACTTGATACGTCAGTTGTGCGCCCATGGATCGCGGACGGTATTTGCTGGCCCACCGTCCAAGATCTGATAACGGTCTTCTCCCCGGATCAGGAGGTCGCTTTTGCACCGTCACACTTGGCAGCGGGTCGACATCGTCTATCTGAGTTCTAACCACCGTTGTAATCCCTCCGTCACTCTCTCGTGACAAGCCACTCAAGCTTCCGCATTAGGTCTATCGAGCGACCCGCCCCGTCCAGCTTCGCTGGGACTACCGAGTGTCACCCCAACCCCGACATGTCCGAAAAAAAATCAAGACCGCGCCCGTTTTGCCAAGACATGCTTCCCTGGATGCAGACAGCTTCTCCCATCGGGCCTTCATGCGACGGGAAGGAAGACACTTTCATCCCAACATTGGACGGGGCACCCGGGCCCATGGATGCACCGCTCAACAACACCACACCCATGGCGCACGTCATGGAGCTGGTCACTTGGGCGAAGCGTCTGGCCCGCTCCGATGCCCGAATGCGGACTTGATCCAGAAGCCTCGGAGGGATGCCAAGAAGGTGAGGTTTATAGTAAGGGGAGGGGGGTTGACAGCTCGACGTCGTGGCATCGCGGCGGAATGATAAATAGCCTCGCAGGGCCGCGTATTCTTGCTGTTCAGAAAAAGATCTTCCCCATCGCATGCGTGCTTGACTGTCACCACTCACCACCATTCACTCATTATTGGACAACATGCGCGCTGCTCTCATCACCTCCGCCCTGGCGACCGGCGCCATCGCCGCCCGCCCGTTCCTGAACGAGCCGGATACCGGTATTGATGGCGTCCTGCCTGACCTCCAGGTCGGCAGTCTGCCCAACCTCACCAACATGGTCGGCCTCCCTGACTTCGAGTTTGCTGCCCGCAACTACCTCCCCCTCCGCAACTACACCTACTACCGCAACGGTGCCGCCGGCGAGTGGTCCTACCGCAACAACCTGGAGGTCTACAACCGTTACCGCCTCCGCCCCCGTGTCATGGTCGACATCACCAACATTGAGCAGACCCTGAGGTAAGTACAGGCTCCCTCGCGCAGTCATCAGACGAACCGTTTCCCCGGTTGCGCATATCATCGTGTCAAAAGACTCTCATGCTGACTCGTGTAGCACCACCATCCTGGGCCACAACTTCTCTGCCCCCATCTTCATCAGCCCCTGCGCCCGTGCCGGCTACGCCCACGAGGATGCTGAGCTGAACCTGATGAAGGCCGCTGGCAACGAGAACATCCTGTACATGCCTTCTCTGTACGCCTCCAAGACCATCGAGGAGATCGCCGCCGTCAAGAAGGAGGGTCAGGTCGCCTTCCAGCAGATCTACCTGACTGCCAACGACACCGAGACCCAGGCTCTCTTCAAGCAGATTGAGGCCTCCGGCGCCAACGGTGTCGTCTACACCGTCGACTCTGCCGCCGATGGCAACCGTCACCGCGCCGCCCGCTTCGGTGTCGGCTCCGCCGACTCTGAGTACTCCCTCATCACCTGGCCCGAGTACCACCGCCTGGCCAACATGACCAAGCTCCCCTTCATTATCAAGGGAATCATGAGCGTCGAGGACGCCGAGGCCGCTATCGAGAACAACGTCCCCGCCATCATCCTCTCTAACCACGGTGGTCGCCAGCTTGATGGCTCCCCCTCTTCCCTCGAGGTCGCCATCGAGATCTACGAGAAGGACCCCGAGATCTTCAAGAAGATTGAGATCTACGCCGACGGTGGTGTCCGCTACGGCGCTGACGCTATTAAGCTCCTTGCCCTCGGTGTTAAGGCTGTTGGCCTGGGCCGTCCCTTCATGTTCGCCAACGTCTTCGGTGAGGAGGGTGTCACCAAGGCCATCCAGATGATCAAGCACGAGCTCGCCATCGATGCCGCCAACCTCGGTGTTCCCGACCTCAAGAAGATTGACGCCAGCTACGTCAAGTGGACCCCCAACAACTGGTACTCTTAAACGTGCCAGGTAGCACAATTTCGCGAGGGAGGGTTGTTCCGGGAAGTTCGCACGACCTACTATGATACCACATGAGTTTTGTACATACTCTTTTTCCTTTCTAGCTGCACATAGCTTTTAGACGCGAATGGATGACCCTCAATCAACAGTCTTTATTCAACTTGATGAATGACATGTGTTTTGTTCCTGAGTGCTACTCGTTCCGAAAACAGCTTGTGTAACTCACTTAGCGTTCGCTCTCCTTCATTGATCATGATTATATGACCTTTTCAATGGCCCTTCTCCTGGAGTATAAGTAGCCCAGTCTAGGTTCGTGTGGATTAACTCCTTGAGATCACATTTGTCAAACACCACACTTTACTCACTTAATTTCGCAAGAACCATTGATAATATATCAGGCAAGCACAGCATCAGCACTCTCACTCAAAATGTGCACCTACAAATACGCTTTCATCGCTTGCAACTCGTGCGCCAAGGACATCAATCGCGTCACTGGGTCTGACGAAAAGCCTTGCGATCTCTATCGCGTATGCAATCGCGACTGCCCGGACCAGACCCAGATTCACTACCACACCTTTCGCAGATTCTGCTCTGAATGCGACCCTGAGTGCTCTTGCTTCCCTGAAGAGGAAGTAGACAAGATGTTGGTCGAGAATACCGTCGCATACATTCGCCAGATAGAGTGCAAATGCGTTAAGCGCTCGAAGATTACCTACGTCTAGAGGAGTTTGAGCAAGTTGTTGATTGAGTCATGTTGGGTTTTCAAGGATAGAGGAGTTTGTTGCTCGGACTCTGTCATATGTTTCGTTCGTCTATACTGAGATTGCAAGTGTCTAATAGACTTTTATTTGGGCCTTTGAACATCGGACATTTCCTATTCAAAGTCTTGCCCCGCGCCAACTCCCCATCTTTAATGACCAGACCCCAACATGTACAAGCAGCATCCATGTTGTCTGCACGTTGTGGAGCTTGCAGCATGAGGTCTTTTCGAGCAAGTGGGTCTGCGAGGCAAGCCCTAGTGCCTGCCCACAACATAAGCTGGTCTCGGGCGAAGTCGCACATCAACAAGAGGCCCTATGGCGCAACGGTAGCGCGTTCGACTCCAGATTCTGTCCTGCGACAGCTTCTGATATGATATCGAAAGGTTATCCGTTCAAATCGGGTTGGGGTCATTTCTTTTGCCTTTTGGAGCTCTCGCAATGTTTCTTTTTGTTGTCGTGGTGCTTGGTTGTAGCGTTGAGTTGCTTGGGGGGCTCTAGATACCTCCTGACGCCACGCGCGATTGAACAGCCGCGACAGGTCAAATCGCCTTTTTGAAACTTCTGGCATCGCCACTCGCCATTAAAAAGTAACTGAAAGGTTGTCGCAAGTCAATTGTGCAAATGGCGCGTTCGTGGTGGTATCTGGTAAATGTTGTGTTTGACATGAACCTTTGTAGCGAATGAGGAAGGAGTCGGAAGAGAAACACCTGACAATTAGTTGCCTGCATCGGGGTAAAACTGAGGTAAACAGTTTACGTTTAGACGGGCAACGTAAAGGGTTGCGAACAACTGCTTTGTAGGCATTCTTTACATCGTGCGACAGGTTCTAGCGCGACGATAGAGCACAATCTGCATAAGATAGAATAGGCTGAGGTGGGGAGAAACATAATATCGACAATCTTAATCATTGAAAAACTGTACTATGGATTCTATGGACGATTGAGATTCATGAAATGCAAGAAGAATGCTGCAGCTGTGCCCCGCGCCATCCCAGGTGTTCGCACACGCTCGCATCACCAAACCTGTTCAGACATTTGCAATTTGTGTCTTAAGCCTCCGTGTTCTCAGTTTTCAGAGGTTTGCGTGCGTATATAGCATCCCTGAGTATGTCTTAGCATTCCGAAAGATTCTTCCTTCTCTCTTCCAATGACTCACATGTAGTAGAATGGCTGGATCTTCGAGTTCCTGAAAGCCGCCCTCACCTCAGTGATGGTAACCTGAGCCTCAGCGTAGCTGAAACCTAGAGCCTCTCTGAGGAGATAGAGCATAAAACCCTCCAGAGACATCTCCATGAATTCTAGGTTACACTGACCAAGTCTCTTGAGATCTGGCCTCGCTGGCCAGGAACCGATTGGGATCTTCCACTTCTTCTCGACAAGCTCGGTGTACCCAGCATCGAGAAGCCCCTGCTTGAACTTCCCTGAGGACACATTACCCGAAGGCTTGCCCATTTTGGCTTGGCCCTCGCAAGTCCACGCATGCCACTTGTTGAAAATGTGGTTTTCGTCCAAATCGGTGTTTTGAGAGCGACCCTTCGTATCGAATTCGATGATCTCGAACCATCCTCCAGGCTTCGTGTAATGAAATGCTTCTTTGCAGAACTTCGGCACATCCTTAAAACAAGCCTCTAGATTCCGAGCATGGATGTAGTCGAAGTGGTCTTTGGGCCAGCCGGTCCATTTTTCTTCAAAGTCATCTATGAGAAACTTGACATTAGGAGGAACCCACGTAGGCTGAGTCGGCGATAAATCGGTGCCGACGACCTCGGCTGAAGGGTACTCGTCGGCGAATTCCCTTCCAGCGACGTGTAAGCAAATAGACCGAGTATGAAGCAGGAGATATGGTAGCTTACATGGCCCAGATACCTGTGCCAGTACCAAGGTCGAGAACCCTCTGAGAATGTGTGAGTATCCCCACTCCTGCAGTAAATCAGGGCTTTGCCTCTACCTGGGGGCTGTCTCCAATCGGCGCCAATGCCAGCCTGCCATCAAAAAAGTCGGTCATCCAATAGTGGCTGTTGAGTGTTAGAATGGCATTAATCGATGCTTTCGAAGCTACTGATGTGGGCCTCCTGGGCAAAGTTCCATCGGGAAGACTCACTTGAAGTCAAGAGCATCATTATGCTTTTCGTCGTTGGGTCCCCAGTACTCGGTTTTCTGTGTGTACGTACGCCCATGAATTTCGCGGTATTCCTTGATGCTCTCGGTGAGAGACGCCGTGGATGAACTATACGTGCTGTGCGTCAAAGTTCAGCGTGAGTTCATACCAAATGCTTGCGGAGGGGGCGCCGGCAAAGCATACCTGTTCCGGTCACTTTGGTCGTCTTCGACCTCAGATTCTAGACCAGGATCCTGCATGTCGCCAAGGCTTGTCAGTGGCAACTTTTACCAGACGATTCCCAACACATACGACGGTAATCGGGGCCGCAACAGGTGCAGTAGTACTCATTTTGAGGGAGTTCGGAGGACGAGGTAATGAATGTTGAACAGAGTATTCTCAAGAGTTTTCGAACAGGGAGAGCATAACGGCAAAACATGTGAGGGGTGTGACCCCTCTTTTGTAGTCCCCGTTTCGTGTTGGAACCTGTTGGTTCAATTCTTGAAGAAGTAAATGCATCGTGCACATGCGCAATCTGCAGGCCGGGGTGGAAGCGAATTTTTGGGCCGTCTCCCCGATCCAATCAGAATCCACAGCGCTTCAATTAACCACGGAATCGATGCCACATTCATACCGGCGGATTCTGGGTGGCCACAGCCGCTGAGCGCGTGGTGAACCATGGTGCTTTGGTCGTAAAGTGTGGCAATCTAGACTGAAGCTGCCCTCAATCTACATTGTCTGTGTTGTACCGATCGGCAAAGCGTTAAAAAAAGAATGCGGATGTTGCGGATATCGCAGGATCTGGTGAAACTGAACTTGTTATTTGCAACTTGTCTGTAGGGAGGAGATGCGTCAGTAATACTAGGTAGTCAGTGTTGAGTATGGCATCTGTTTCTTTGATGGAGTAGCTGCATCTCCAAAACGTCCTAACACCGAAAATGACAGTAAATGACCAGAACACTTGGCGTATGGGTCTGAATTTTCTTACCCTGGTATCTGGTATCGTGTCTTCTCTCGTGTTGTTCATTCATGCGCGGGACTTCTGCAGAATGCAGATGCATTCGCAGGGGTTATTCGCCGGTCCATGTTTTTGTCCAATCAGAGCGCCTACTTCCCATCAACCTCGGAAGTGGTTCGATAGGAAAGGATGGGGGATCGGCCCCGAAGGCCGCCTCCGGTAGGATGGGGCACCAATAATGAATTTCATAAATACTGCTGACTGTGATCCAGAATCAATTGAAAGAATACAAGAAGCAGACGAGGTCAGGTGAAAGTGATCGCACAGCGTCTGCCGTGTACGAGGGGATTTGGAATGTTGCTCAGTTTATTAATGACATGTTCATCTCGTGTATCGTGAAACATGGGATGCGTGGAGCAAAGTCTTGGATGATCCTATCATAAAGTCTCAGGCCCTTCATACCGCCGTTGTTGTGTCATGAGATTGAGATTCCTTGGCGATCGCTGCCTTTCTCTCTTTTGAGACTTCCGGTTTGCGAGCATAGATGACGTGCCTTGATGCCGGTTAGCATGACGACAAAACCAAGTTATCGTCTCGTTGTGAATGACACTTACATGTAGTAAAATGACTGCAACCTCGGATCTCGCATCGCAGCCCTGTATTCGCTAAACATGACCTGGCACTTCTCGTAACTGAAGCCGGCAACTTCCTTCAGCAAGTAGAGCCCGAACCCTTCCAAGGAGTCGCTCAAGAAGTCGAGAATGGTCCAGCCCAGTTGTTTAAGCTTTGGATCGGCACACCAGCCGCCAATCGGAATTTTCCACCTGTGATGCACGAGATCAACATAGCCAGCCTGCTCTAGCGCCCTCTGAAGCGCACCCGTCCGTACGTTCTCTCCCGGTTTTCCGAGCTTATTCGCAGCAGTAATCAAGGCCGTATAGCAAGTCCTGTAGATGTGCTCTTCTGGCAGTTCCGCGACCTGTGATCGGGCTTGTGATTCGAACTCCAGGAACTCAATATACCCGCCCGGTTTAGTGTGGTTGTACGCCTCCTTCATTGTCGTCGGCAGGTCAGTGAAGCAAGCTTCAAGGTTGCGTCCGTGGATGTAGTCAAAGTGATCTTTCGGCCACGTCCATTCTTGGTTAAAGTCGTCGATTTGAAACTTCAGGTTAGGCGGTACCCAAGTGGGTTGGATGGGTGACAGATCGACTCCAGTAACCTCGGCGGAGGGATATTGATCGGCCATGTCTCTGGTTCATGTCAGTATGCAGTGTGGGTCCAGAGGTTGAGGTTATTCACATGGCCCATATACCTGTACCGGTACCCATGTCGAGGATTCTCTATAGCACTTGTCAGCCTGGCTTGTAAGCAATTTTTTGCCAAAGAAGAAGAATCATACCTGAGGATGGTCATCAATGGGAGCATGGAATAATCTGCCGTCGAAAAAGTCTGTAATCCAGAAGTGGCTGGGATATATGGTTAGCAAATGACCACCTGATGTTGAGCCACAACTTTCAAGAATCTTGTCGTTCGAACACGACTTACTTGAAGTCGAGAGCTTCACTCTGTCTTTCATCGTTCGGGCCCCAATATTCTGATCTTTGGGTATACGTTCGTCCATGTATCTCACGATATTGCATGATACTCTCAGTCAATGACACCGTTGACTGCGGATAGATACTGCAACCAAACCCGCCTTAGCACCTCAAATTCATGCGCAACATTGCATGTGGAGATTCGTTTTTTACCTGGCGATATCATCGTCCGTGCCAGCTTCAACAGCCGGATCCTGCAGGTGCGCGAGTCGCGCGAGTCAGTAAACCTCCGAATCCATCTCAACCCCTGACAATGCCACAGACGGATAGGGGGCCGCACCACTGGAATCACACTGTCACTGCTGTCGGAAGGCCTTGGCCTGGGAGGGTCGTCGTCGCACATCGTGTCGGCCGTTGCTAGAATCACGCAAAACGAACGGGCAGCAAGAATGGATGAAAGGAAGAAAAACCGCCCGAGTTGTCGGGACGGAACACGCTCTCCATTTGTATCGGCACGGCGTCCTATCTTCGTCCGATCCTGTTCTGCGTGTCGCAGACCGAGCAGCCCAGGGGCCCTGTCCGTCCGTGCCCCCGCACCAATGAAGCATCAAGCTTTCTCAGGCGACCGCGGGTTGGATACCCTTTGCGGACGAAGAAAGGTTCGCCTGGGTCTGGTCTGGAGGGATATCGCGCCATAGCTCTTGCTTCCACGTGGTTGATTCGTAGACCCTAGACTTGGCCATGTGTTCGAGATATGACAGCGGCCCAGCCCGGATTTTGTTCATCACCTCGCCTTCATGAATGTCGGGTCTTAGTTTCCTCATCGGGATTGTGTGTCCTCACCAATGCTGATTTTGAAATTTCGGGGTTTTTGCGGTTGAAGATGCTCGGGAGTGCCAGCATCAAAACCGGATTCCGGGTTCTGCTCACCGCTCAGGTCAGCTTTTCGAAACCAGATCAAATAGCGCAGTTTGAATGCGGGTCCTAAGCTGGGGTGACATCGGCCTTTATCTCGAAGATCTAGCTTGTCTCCACCATGGGGTATATCACGGGAGATGTTTGGGTTATTCGCGAAGCTGGACATTGATTGCAGTTTCAGAGACTTGTTTCTGTAATTGAACTTTTGTCATTGTTAATATTTGAGTTGTCTTGATGAAGTACCATGACCCTAAATGATTGTAACTAAAGTTGCCATCTTCCATCAATCAATAAGCAGGCTCCCCACACAACACCTCCCGTTCTAGGGCATTCAAGCAGCAGGGGTCTCTTGAGTCTCCTCTGGCTTGCGGCCATACACCAAGTGCCTGAAACATTAGCGAAGTCGCACAGAGGAATGTGATCCAACTCACAGATTGTAATACGCTTGGTTCTTCGGGTCCCGGAGGGCCTGGCGCATTTCACTGACGAACACCATGACCTCCACGTACTCCCACCCGAGGACTTCCTTCAACAGATAGAGACCGAAGCCTTCCAATGACTGGTCATTGAACTCCAAGTTAAGAGCGCCAAGCTCCTTTAGGGTTGCGTCCTTGCTCCAACCTCCAATAGGTATTCTGTATACCTTTTCTTCTTCAACAACGAACCCGGCATCTTTGACGCCTTTGGCCAGACCGTGATCATCCACATTTTTAACGGACTTGCCTATTTTTTCAGTGGCCTCGCTAATATTCTTGTACCACCTGCTAAAAATGTGGTCATCTGTCAACTCTATAGTTTGCGACCGTGTCTTGATATCGATTTGCTTGACTTCGATGTATCCACCGGGCTTGGTATGCGTGAAAGCTTGGCTGTACAATTTGGGCCAGTCGGCGACGGCAGCCTCAAGATTCCGGATGTGGACGAAGTCAAAGAAGTTTTCGCGAAAGGTCCAGTCGAGCTCGAAGTCATCAATCTGGAACTTGACGTTCGGCGGGATCCAGGAAGGTTGGATTGGGGAAATATCAACACCGATGACCTCCGCCGAAGGATAGGTGTCGGCAAAATCGCTGCAATTAAGTTTCAGTCAGCTCCAATCGATGCGCTAGTCTCACAGTCAAGGTCGACTCACATCGCCCAGATGCCAGTGCCAGTGCCTACATCGAGAACATGCTTCAGCGCTTGTTAGCCTTGAGGGAAAGCGAAGAGGAACATCGACTTTTCTGACATGAGGACTGTCTCCAATAGGAGCCATAGTCAACCTTCCGCCAAAGTAATCAAGCTGCCAAAAGTGGCTGAAAGTCGTTAGTATTGACTTCCGGCTACCATGCAAGATCTTACTTGAAGTCGAGAGCCTCCGTCTGTTTGTTATCGTTGGGTGCCCAGTACTCCGTCTTTTGCGAGTAGGTTCTCCCATGCAGCAGCCGATACTCGCGAACACTGTCGGTGAGCGATGCGGTGGACGATGTCGAGACACTAGCACCAAATGCATCAATATTGTCGGCTCGCTCAAACGACAGCGCCATTTATCTCGTACCTCTGCGTCTCAGATCGGTCGTCTTCTGCTTGCCCCCCCAACACGGGTCCCTAAATATTCAAACGTCAGGCAAGTGGTGGTTTTAGAAATGAACCTCGCATTGCAACGAGGACGGGAGGTAACATACGGCAGGGATCTCGTCATCTGCAGGTGGTTGATGCATAATTGCTCTCGTTCGCAAAGTGACAGGTGATGATTGAGACGTTGTGCGCGTCCGAGGATTTAACGGGGGAAGACCCCTCCTTTGTATGATCTGAATAATGCTCTTGTTGGCTCTAAATATGCAATCTATGAATGGACAGGCTAGGGATGAGCAGCCAAGGGTCTGGAACAAAGGCCGTCTCCCCGGCCCAATAATGACGCTGTTCAGCCAGCTGCGTGGAGAGTCCAAACCCTGTTCGGCAGGTTGAGCGGTCGGGCGAGTATCCACCGAACTGTGCACAATTGGGGTACAACGTACGACGGCAGGCTCGGAAAACGTTTGTTTGGGCCGTCTGCAGCGCGGTGGCTGAAGGAACAGTCAATTGCAGTCCGAGGGAACGGAACAGGCTGCATTTAAACCCCGCCATCCCACCAAGATACCACGGCACATGTTTTCGCATCATTTGATCTCGGATGTCGACCAGTGGGAAAAGGGCTTGGCAAGCCTGTCTTGAGCAAGGAGGCGCCACTTTCCACAGAGCACCCGTTGCGGAGGAAATGTGGGCTGTTGATTGCCTGCCCAATGAACATTCACATCGACCAAACGTCCTGAACGAAGTCACTTTTTTTTAATGGATCCTTTGCTCAAATTCTCCTGCCAACAGATAGCTTTTCTTCTTGTAAAGCTGGAATTGTATGAAAATGTATGGAGTACTCCGCGTGCAGGTCCGCTATGTACATCCATTCGCTTTGCTGACCTGTGAAGCTGCCGAAGTCTTAAACCAAGTATTCTTGATGGTGTCTTGACATATGCAATGTCAGTTCCGATGTCTTCAATTCAGCTGGCACGCAATTTTCCTTTTCATTTATTCTCATTCACATTTTTCAAAGATTATATATAACACGATGAGCCCTGCCCAAGCTTGTTGTGAGTTTTACAATCAGATGCGTGTGGAAAAGCCGGAAGAGCCCGTCAACTTTTACTGGAGACACACAGCCATATGAACGGGGTGTCTTTGCAGCCGTCACTGAATTTGTGATTGCTCTCATAGGCCACAGCCTTGTATGGGACACTAGACTCTATGATTGGCGAGTGTTCGCAAACGAGCCTGCTGTTCTGCATGTTTACTGTTGGCCTTGCACCAACATCATGCACCGAAACCCTTGCACCTGCAGCGCCGCGGATTCAGAAAACCGGGCTTGTGAGTGTCCCCTCCTCTTTGAGATTTCGAAAAGCCCCTGTTTTCTTTCTTACCTTAGGCTCTCTCCTCATCTTCCACCGCAGAACTTTGTTCAAGTGTGACTCTCGTAGCATTGCTGGTCTCAACATGGGTGATACATCGAGAGCCAAATTCAGGTCGCCGCGAGGCAACCTCTCGAGTCCAGTGGTCTCACCTCCAAAGAGTCCGCCCACAAGTTCGCCTCCGCCCGCTGGATCCCCAGTTGAGAATCCGGCACCACTACAGGCTGATGGAGATCTGGTTCGATTCGCTTCTCGTCCGTTTGTTGAGCAGCCTTGTCTAATTTCCAGAAAGCCTCAAGAAATCGACACTGAGCGACTGTGAATTGGCTTGTCCGACAGTCCTACGAAATCAGCTGATAAATTGGCGAGGTCATTCTACACGGCGTCGCTGGCTTCCAGTGCTGTCGATTATCCCATTGAATACGGACGCCGATACCACGCCTTCCGCCCAGGCTGTGAGTAGTTTCCTTCGCAGAGAATTCTTCGACCCTCTTTTCATACTCTGATACATGAACGCCGCTAATACGAAGGACTTCAGCATATGTTCTTCCCAACGATGAGGTTCGTGATTCACGCCTACTACTGCGACAAGCTCTCACTATCAAGTGTATCTAGTACGAGATGGACCGTCTCGACTTCGTCCACGCGCTGTTCGTAAGAGCTCTTGGAGACAGGCTTTACCTCGCGCCTCTTGAAACGGAGAAGATCCAAAAGATTCTGGATATCGGAACTGGGACCGGTATTTGTAGGTGCCAAATCAAATGGAACATCAGAATATTCAGTGCTAAGTTGCGCAGGGGCTATGGAAATCGGTGACATTTTCCCGAACGCCGAGGTACGAGCTTCCTACCATTGCCTATGAAGATACGCATCGAATTCAGGAGCCTGCAACTAGGCACAATACATCAGCTCTGACTGGGCCAATAGGTGATTGGCAACGACCTCAGCGCTATCCAACCCGAGTGGTAGGACCTCCTGAATGTGAGAAAAACCAAGCTTCGTCCTGACCTGAGAATAGGGTTTCACCCAATGTCAAGTTCGAAATCGACGACGTCGAAAGCCCATGGATCGACGACAGAAAGTACGACTACATCATGTGTCGCTGCATGGCTGCTTGTCTCGCAGATTGGCCGAAGCTCATGCAAAACATTTACGAGTGTGTACCTGAACCCCGAAGACAAAGAGACCTGACATCTGACCGTACAATCCCAGCCATCTCAATCCTGGCGGATGGGTCGAGTTCCAAGACACAAGCATTGAGTACTATTAGGACGATGGAACTCTCACGGAAGAGCACTATTTCCGTCAGTGGAACAAGACCCTTGTTGAAGCAATTGCCTCAATTGGGCGCGAGCCCTCGCCTGGTCCTAAGCTCGAGGGATGGGTCCGTAACACTGGGTTCCAAAGGATCAACCATTCAAAGGTCAAGATCCCATTGGCACCTTGGCCAAAAGATCCCTTTTACAAGGCCCTGGGGACAATGAACTTGACGCAAGTTCTAGATGGTCTTGAGGGGTTCACGATAAGGGTATTCTGCGGAGTCCTTGGACAAACGCAGGAAGAGGCACAAGTCATGATGGCCGCGGTGCGCAATGAGCTCAAGAAGCTCCACTCTTTTCACTCACAGTTTGACTTGTAAGCTTCTTCGTGACTTCCTTCTGGAGATATCCATCTGACTATAGTCCAAGCCACATTGTCTATGCGCAGAAGCCTCTGGAAGAGGATGAATGAGCTCTGCAAAAGACTTTTGGTACATATATAATAACAAGAAGTGATCAGGTCGTTGAGGATGCGCATCTTCAAGTTCACCAACCAATCTTCTACTTAAGAATGGAGGTAAATAAGTATGGGCAAAATATTTCCATTCCTCTCAGGAATCATATCTTACAGCTCCTCTCTGCACCACAAGTACGATCTACCTTAGTTAAAAAGGTGAAGTCGGGTTTAGAGAAAACGATAATTTGTGGATGATATGGCCGCTTTAGCTCCGTAGAATACATGGTTTCAAATTCTTTCTGATGACTGATCCTGGCAGACGCGTGCCCGGTGATACAAACGTATCAATGGTTTACCAAAAATGGCGTAACAGCCAAGGCATTAACTAAATAACTATTCACAGATGAAATCAAGATGGAGTAACGAAGTAGCATGGCATCGCAACAGTACCAAAGAGCCATGAGAGCGAAATGCGGAACATCTGTAATAAGCAGCTTTTTATCTCGGCAAAAGATGGGGGTCCATCATTCCTAGGCTGCGGTGGGATTGTTGGTGCTTCGCCAACGCCTTGCATAAACAACCTTGCACCTACTGTGCCGAGCTTTCAAAAAGCGAGGCCAGGCGGCCGCCCCTCTTCTCTCCGTCAACCCTGACACGATCTCTCCCATCCTGCCACATTCTCCTCTCCTTTCTCGAGGCCAACGCATCGGTCTCGTACTGCATTTTCTGTCAGCTTCCGGCCCACACGTGCCTTTGACAGATATCATGCGCGATTCCACGAAAGCCCAGTCAACCTCGCCTCGGACGGTCGCTACCAATCCGAAAATTGCAGCCCAGCAAGAAGGCCAGTCGACCCACACTGTGGTCAGACCTGCCGGATCTATGGACGACGATGACGAGGTTCTCCAGGCTAATGACCCAGAGGAAGATGGTCCTTCAGTGATCGATAATGGTCAACTGTATGACATTAACTGTGTCAATCTTTGGCAATGAAATTAACCGGCGCAATAGGTCTTCATACACGGCGTCGCTAGCATCGAGTGCTGTGGACTATCCGGTAGAATATGGTCGCCGCTACCACGCTTTCCGCCCAGGGTGTAGGTGATCTCTTACTGTTGAAATTACAGACGAGTTGAAACAAGCCTGACATAAAATAGCTTATATCATGCCGAACGACGAGGTGTGTGCTACCTTGGTCGATACGTGTCATCAGCCCTCTAATGCAGCTCGATAGTACGAGATGGATCGCATGGACTTTGCGCATGCGATGTTGGTCAGAGCAGTGGGCAATAAACTGTACACGGCGCCGCTCGAGAAAAACAAAGTTAACCAAATCTTGGACATTGGGACGGGCACCGGAATCTGTGAGATATTTGATTCTTCTATACCAGCAGTACGCAACAAGGCTGACGCAACTCAAACTCCCAGGGGCTATGGAGATGGGAGATGTTTTTGAGAACGCCGAGGTAGGCCACCTGATAAGCTACATGGATTCGAATCTTACACTCTGACTCGTTAAATTAGGTTACTGGCGTTGACCTCAGCGCTATCCAGCCAGAGTGGTAGGTTATGCTGCAATGCTTGATATCACCGTCAGAAGCGCTATCTCACACAGAAAAAGGGTTGGCCCGAATGTTAAATTCGTTGTCGATGATGTCGAAAGCCAATGGGTAGGCGATAAGAAGTACGACTACATCTTCTGTCGGTGCATGGCTGCATGTGTTGCCGACTGGCCAAAATTAATCCGCACGATCTACGAGTGAGGGTTACCAGACCAATCCATCATCGGATTCGGGAGTTTGATGACTGACCATCATTTAGCAACCTCAACCCCGGGGGCTGGGTTGAGTTTCAAGATTCCGATTTCAACTACTACTCAGACGACGGCACCCTAACCGAAAAACATCAATTCAAGCAATGGAGCAAAAGTCTTGTCTCTGCGCTTGAGTCCATCGGACGTGACCCCTGTCCGGGACCGAAGCTGAAAGGCTGGGTGAAGGATGCCGGATTTCAGGAGATTTCCCACAAAAGGCTCAAAGTCCCTGTCGGTCCCTGGCCTAAGGATCAGTGGTATCGTGATCTTGGGGCTATGAACCTTACGCAGCTTCTGAACGGGTTAGAAGGCTTTTCTATGAGAGTCTTCTGCGGAATTCTCGGGCAGACAGAGTCGGAAGTCCAGGCACTCCTTGATGCGGTCCGCAAGGAACTGAGGACTCGTCATTTGTTCCATGCCCAGCTTGACTTGTAAGTCGTCTCAAGTGAACCCTAACTGCATGTTTCTAACATCTTGCATAGCCATGTTATTTACGGCCAAAAATCACTGGAGAGCGAAGAGTAACGTTGCAATAAGGACCTATACGGTACCGTGTCTGTGGACGGAAGAATGCAACATAAGAGAGGGAGCTGCCCTCAGTTTAGATTGAAGTGGCCATAGACATTTCTTTAAAGCCATGCTAGTCCTTGCAAATTTCCCGGTCAGAGTCATGCGGCAGTGATCAAAGGTCTGCCCGCAGGCGTTAACCTGCCACACGCAAGAAAAAATGAACAGAAAATTAAAGGCCCTGATCGGCAGCCTAAAATCCAGTTTTGAGAATCGAATATCGGCTTAGATAACATTGCAGAAAGCCACGAAATTGCGTTCTGACAGGGCACTTCCCCCCTTTTAGGTAGAAGGCGTATAGAAAGTTCGGAGCTATATGACGCCCGCATAGGAGGCTTTTTATATAATGTACTGCCCAACTAACCTAAGCAAAATAGCTCACAAAGCACCCTTTTAAGCGTAATAACCAATTTTGTAGAGAGGTGTAATTAAGCGCTAAATATCGCATTTCGAAGAAGTACGCCACTCGCGTGGTTAACGGCGGGCGGTTTTTCAATCGTACTTACTTTATGTTGAGAAAATTTCATAGCCCACCCTATAAGAGGGTCCACAGTAAATAAATCCAGTAAGAGCACTTCGGCCGGTGCTTCGTCTAGTAAGAAGATCGCAGTATACGTACTCAGGGATCGTACTTACTTTATATTGTAGTTAGATGTACCGACATTCGATATCCAAAATCCAATATCGGGGTGTCGATCAGGGTCTAAAAGAAAAGTAGGACAAGTGAACAAAAACTTGTCACATGCCCTATTTAGTAAGATACTCAGAACATGATTATAGTGTCGCGGACCAGACTGAGACATTCCACATTTGATCAGAATCGCTTTTGATCTTCATCATTCACATTTCTCATTATGCTACTTGATGCATTCATTAACTCCATGTAGCCGTGCAATCCTAACTTTCATCCATAGTACTGTCGCCTGAACCATGTAGTCGCATATTTCAGCGCTTTACTGGACGAGTCCAGCAACGAAGGCAGCAGCAGCGGGGGCGTCCTGCTCGTAGTTGCTGTGGTCCGCAGTGATGATAATACCACCGTCGCAGATGTTGTCACCGTCGTGGCAGATGATCTTGACCTTGGAGGAGGGGATGTTGCCGACGGGCTGGCCGTCGAATGGGTCACCGAAGATGAGGACTGTCGCGTGTTAGATTCTTGTCATGGAGGCGGTGTTCCAAAAATGCTTGACATACCGGCAGAGACCTTGTTGGTCAGAGTAGTGCTGAGCTTGGAAGCAGCGTTGTGGACGAGCTGGCCACCCTGGCTGTAGCCGGACATGACGATCTTGGTGTTGGGGCATTGGCTCGCAGCCTGAAGTTGTGGTTAGCTATGAAGCCAATGCAGAGCAAGTTGACGAGCAAGACTCACCTGGGAGACCAAGTTGGCCATGGTGGTGCTGCCAGCCGCGTCACCGCCGGACAAGAAGCCCAAGACGCTGGCACTGTAGTTGACACCCTGAACGGCGAGGTTCGAGGCACCAATGATACCAGCAAGGGCGTTGAAGAAAGTAGGACCCTCAGAGCCCGCCTCTCCGACGTTGCCGGCGCCGTAGGTGCCACGGGCCCAGATAACCGTAACAGCACGGCAAGCAGTGCCGTCAGTCAGCTGGTTGAAGGTGTCACCGTTGTACTGACGCTTGGAGATGGAGGGAGAAATCGAGGCAACAGTGGAAGGCTTGCTAAAGGCCTGCTTGTAGTACTCCTCAAGCTCAGTCATGGGGAAGGATCCCAACTCGCTGCGGGCAGCGACACTCTCGAAGGGAGCAGCCATGGCCGCGGAGGCGGCGGCGAGGAGGAGACCGGCCTTCATCTTGACGGTGACGAGTCAGCTGCTGGACCGGGATGGGTCTGGGGCTTGAGGAGGAGCAGGAGGGTGGTCTTGTCGGCGGTGGGAGACTGAAGCTCTGACGATCTTCCGTGACGTGCAATCAGAGGGGGGATCGTCTTCGTCTTAAATGTTAAGCAGTATGGCTGCGCATCTCCCGTGGCTGATCAACTCTATTCCCTCGTGGCGTGCGCGTGCCGCGCGTGGACCTGACCAGCGACTCACAGGCCAAGCCCTTGGCTGTCGTCGTCGCATCACGACCTGCCAGTTTGCAACGCGTCGCAGGGCCAGGGACTAACCCCCCACCGCAAGTAGCGGTGCTGCCCTCAACGGTCAAACCATCCCAACTTGAGACCGTCGGCCGAGCCTCATGCTGACCTGTGCATGGCATATTTAGGTTATGCCATCCCATTGACCATTCAGAAACCGCCCCCCAACCGGGAATATCGGTCTGCGAACAGGAAGCTGCGTTGCCCTGGGGAAATTGGAAGCAAGTTTTTGCAATGTAAGATATTGCTCTTGCAGCACAACTATGCCCACTCCAGCACCTCGGCCCGCACCGGCCCCCCTCCTTAAGGTTCAGGTGTGCCTACGGTGTTGATTAACTGCACGGGTGACAGCTGTGTTGTGGAATGCGTTGAATGCGCGTATATCCTGAAGTCGAAGTGATCATCGGCATCCCATCGGAGCCCATGGCGTCATAGGAGGTTCTGATAGGACCGGCAGTTCGCAGTATTTCTCGGGAGAGGGGCGCCCTGGCCTGTCATTGAGTCTCGTGGCCGCCGTGGGTGTTGCCGTGGGCCGCCAGCCAGGGTTTGGAGTAGCATCGCCTCGGAGATGTCGGCCGTTTAAAGGCAAGCAAATCGGTGCCTAGTCCCCAATCGTAGCGGAGTTCGTCGCTGATCGCGGGGTAATCGGGGCGCTTAGAGAAAGGTGGTTGGGCTGACTGTCGGGAGAGAACACGTGGGTCGTAGACCGAGATAGGACCTTCTGCTTTTGATGAAGAACCCCGGGGTCCAAGAGCTTCGAGGTGGGAGTTATGTGTAATGATGTGCCTTTGTTGGGCGCCCAACGATCTTGGCGAGAAAACTATTCAATGCGGGGATTTTGAGGCCTGGTCAGCTTCATGTGGAGCTGAGATCGGACCCTGCCGACTTGTACTGTGATCAGCTCATGGGGGAGGAATAGACATGTCAAACAAATGGAGGCTGAGTCTCTCTTTGGAAATTGTTAGATAAGAATCTCTTGGCCTTCCTGTTCAGGTGATGACTTCGTAGGTATGTAGTGAGGTAGAAATTGGGAATACCCTCAATGGGTTTGAGTGGGTGTGATAGTATTGCACACAATGCAAGGGCAAAAGATGCAGCTATCACATGCAAAGAGAAGGGCAATCAACGTCAAACAATAAACAGCCACACTGGGCCAATTGAAAGCTGCATAACCTGTTCATTTCCAATGATGGTGAGGGGATGCACCCAGCCACTTCAAAGGATCGGCAGGCACGGCACGACGTTAGCTATGATCCCCGTCCAGGAAACGGTGTCCGGCCTATTTGTAGACGGAAAATGGAGTACGAATGAGATTCAGATTTTCGTTAGTCACACTACAAGTAGTCAGGCTTATCGGAAATAGCTTTGGCTGCACATGTGTCCGCAGTATCAAGGCTTCGCGCGGAGGTCTACCTCCAGCGTCTGACCTAACAGGGGGCAGATAATCCTCTAAAACAATATTCTTCATTACATAATGTCAAACAAGAACGGCTAGTAGATTAAGAACCGCCAAACTGAATGACTACAAGGAAATTGATCCAATATTGAAGTACCGAATTGTGCGACGCTCATTATCAGAAATATTTCCTTTTCCCTTCTTGCACCTGCCTACGATACTCTCGTACCTTTTCAATGGCCTTATGTTCAATGTCTAAGACATGACCAAGCCCGTATTCATCGAAGTTCTGGCAGATTGGGCAGACATCCACGAGCCAATCATCGCGTTCTTCGGCTGGCTGCGTTTCCCACGCATCGAAGTATCTGTCTCCATCGTCGCAATCATACCACAAGTCGCCATCATCGTCCATCTCAACCCGATAGCCTGCATGCTGAAGACCGTCGCACAACGCCCTGACCATAGGCCAGCGTGAAAGCTGCCTCTGGCCCTGTAAAGTTGCAGTGTGGCGATAAAAGGCCGTCGCATTTCTGAAGAATCCTGGACTGGTGCCTTTCAGGGCGAATCTGAGGTCGGCATCGTGGTCAGAATCGTGGTTCTGCGATTCCTTATACGCCCAATGTGAGACAAAGTTGCCCTCATCAGTGATGTACTCGTCATTTTCGTTCTCCGAATCTTCTCCTTGAGCCATATTCTTGGACAAGTCCTCAACGTGTTCATCATCGAGAACAAGTGATTCTGGGTTTGCTACTGCCAACTCGCTTGTCGACGAATGTACATTACTGCAGCTGAAAACTCCGGCAGCGTCCCATTGAAAAGTCCAATCGAAGGAGCGGTCGTAGTCCATCGTTTCGAATTTTCGCGAAAAGTCTTCTGGTACATGTGTTTCATCCCAAAAGCAATCCGGTTGACGATAGGGAAGTCTTTTACGTGATAGCCCATAGCTTCTGAGTCGGGCAATATCTGACGATTTAATGTTCCCCATCTTCGTGAACCATGCAGTCACTCGGATGCCGTCGGAGCCTGTGTGATCGTAAACAAGACTTTCAAATGGATCCGAATTATGGTGAAGCAGATGAGCCACTGAGCCCTCGAAGTCAATATAAGAGAACTTAAGATTCCACCCAAATTCCACGTCATAGTGTATTCCAATTGTGTCAGTCCATACAGAACTTCCGCGGGAGTCCTTGAGATTTGGGTCGGCACATTGGCGCAGCAGGTAATGTGATGTATCTGTCAAAATACCACATCGTTTCGTGCTCCGGGAAAGCGGTGTTCCATTCCAATCCCGCTCGTTAACATTGACCTCGGCTCCGTATTGAAGGAGTATGGCGATACCTTCAGTCCATAACTCCTGTGCCGCATTGCCAATTGGTTTCCTGTTGAGACCCCCCGACTGATTCGGGTCCAAGCCAGCTATCTCCAAGGCAAAAAGACTCACATCTGAATTTCTTGACCAACAGGCGCCGTAGAGCAGGCTGTTCGCTGGCCCATCGAGTCGCCAATCAGCATATCCCATGGACTGCAAAAGACGAAATTTCCAAAGTATTTGTGATTCGTCTGTGCCGAAGACTTCAAACAGCCCTCCCACCTTGTTGCCGAAAGAGACGATGTCTGCTCCACGAGACACCATATTCGACGTAGCGTCCCTAAAGCCTTGAGAGAATGCAGAAAGTACGGCCGGTCTATAAGTGAAATTAGACAATCTCTTCCATCTTTGGCTTCAATTTGCCGAGCTCACAGTGCTTTGACATTTCTCGCATGAGTGATGGATGGATCGCAGCCTTGGTCTAGTAGGTAGTCCAACAATAATTGGCCGCCGTCAAGAAATTCCTTTTCGTAGATCAGATTTCTGCTATTTCCAAGAAGAACGTGCTTTAGGTACCTATGTCAGTTGTTGAACACACGGAAAGGCAATAGTATGACTTCTGACCTCAAGCAGACCTCCCGTCTCACCATCCGTGTCATTAATACCGGCTTGTCCGGTCTCCAGCAGGTAATGAACTTCTTGAAGATTCCAGTTGCGACAGGCTTTGAAGATAGGCGTATCGCTAGGCCGCACATTGATGATCGTCAATGACGCTCTAAGAGAGGGGTCAAATCGCCAAAGGCGGCAGAGCAGCTGAGCCTGCAGTTCAAACCGAAGAATGTGATTACCTAGCAGTTTGATGCACATGCTGAACAGAAGCTTGGCCTTTTGAGACCTCATCTTTGATTCCAAGGTCAGCTTTCCCCCTGTGCTATAGAATTCGTCGACGGATGTTTGGGGTCTTTCGGTGTCCCCGAAGTTTGCTATCAGGTATTTCCGAGAGAGATTTCTGTTGTGTTGCATTAACATGTAGCCAGGATTAATTTCGTACTGCTGTTGCGCCGGGTAATCATTGTTGTCTGTTGTCTTGTGCGTAGTACTCTTTGCGGTGGTATGTCCCGGAACTGCAGCCTTCTCACATTATTCAGCAGGCTCCCTTGGTGGAATTTGGATTTGTAAAAGTATGTACGCACTGTGAGCTGTGTCACATCTATGGACAACATGCCCTTGATGTCATCGAGAGATCGTATGATGAACGACTGGCCTATGTTTAGTGCTGCAAGAGAGTTCTGGTTCAAGAATGATAATCGCCTGGAGATGGTTTAGCTGGTTAAAAAGACATATAAAATAGAACACAATAAACTAACGTTGTGAGTATCTGAAGCATGATGCTTAGTTCATCATTCGCCATCTGAGCCTCTTGAAGCAGATTCCGTGCTTTCTTCTTGTCCAACGTAGCCCAGCGCAACCGATCGCCCACACTGTACGAGCCTCCAACTGGAACTATGACGACACTCTTGAGACGCATCAATGAATCCAAGATACTTTGCATGCCCATGGAGAGCACTCCAATGTGATGGTTCGGCAGCAGAGGTAGCCGCGTCTGTGCTTCCGGCAGCTCATCACACATGGAAGCGACCTGCGTGAGAAGGCAATGAAGGCGTTGGAGCTTGGTCTCAAGCTCCAAAATCTCTGCTGGTGCGTTTCGAAACGACGAAACGACACTGCGTGCCAGCTCGCTTGCTTCAAATGACAGTTTCACGAACTGGGCAATCGCAGCCGCCGCTCCAAGGGCTTCCATCTTAAATGTTAGGAAAACCTCCAAGAATTCTCAATGAGATGTCAGCTGTATTTGAGAATCTGATTCGGAGTGGAGATGTGTCAAAGAGACGTGCCGGGGTTGGGGGTTGGGGGGGGGGAAGCTGGGTGTTGACGCAGCACAAGTTGAAATGTGCGGAGATCAAAGATTGAAACGAATCTGCCCTCGGGCCAACCCCTACTTAAGTAGAACCTACGTCTTACGTCCTCAAGGCTTTTATCAAGGCTGACTTTGCTTTGTTGGCGGTGACAGTGGCGGTGCAATGCATGCGAGTCCCGCAGGTAGAGGACATTCTAGGTCGCGATTCGCCAGCCTGTTCTGACCACCGTGAGAGACTTCTGTCGACGAACTGGTTGCCGAATAGGAAATTGTTCCGCTCTTTGGTTGTAAGAGCTGCGTCCTAGCGAACTGTAAATCCCTCGAAAATAGTCGACCAGTAATACTTTACACACAAAAATGACTGCTAGGTTTGAATGCATATCTTTTTTACTTATGATTCGTTGCTACGGACAAATTATGACCGCCTGCGTGTCTTGTCGGAACACTTGTAAAGCAGTGTAAACACATAGTATGGACGAGGACTAACTAGGGCAAGGTAGATACTGTTTGGTTAGGTAGGTAGCCTGGCTGCACATAACTATGTTCCTATATCGCTCAGTGACAAACAAATCATTCGACACCCAGCCGCGACACAGATACGAGCAAACAACACCATAGCAAAGGATTCTTTCTTTTCTTCCCATTTCATGAAGACCTTGCCGCAAGTTGTATAGGCTGTATTGAGGATCCATCCATAACCCTTCAGCTACCAGACTGCGATATATCCCGGCCCATGAACACCCGTCACATTATTGTCAGACTCCACTTGAGTCTAGAACTCGTTCCAATTTGTATCTGAAAAACGAAATGTGAACGATGCAAACATACTCAGCAGGTAAGTCCGCCATCAATGACGATTGATGTCCCAGAGATGTACGTCGACTCATCACCGAGCAGAAACCCTACCAAAGCAGCAACATCTTCAGGCTGACCCCACCTCGGGATGGGAGGACTGTAAACACCAGAGTCTTCCGCCTTTGCCTGCGCCATCATTGGGGTGTCGATGGCACCACTGTCAAGGAGGTCAGCATGCGAATTGACACTAACCAAAAAGTATCCACTTACGGATTGACGCAATTGACACGGATGTTGCGGTAACCGTATTCCCTCGCAGCTTGTCTGGTCATCCCTAGCACCGCATGTTTGCTAGCAACATAGGCCGATCCGCCAGCATCAGGCGCGCTTCGCAGCCCGAGAACACTTGAGGCATTGACAATTGACCCTCCGTCCGTAAGATGCTTCAGCTCTTCCCGCATGGAGTACATCGTCCCAGATAGGTTGATGCCTAGGACTAGGTTCCAGTCTTTATCGGTCTGCGCCTCGAGACGATCCACGGTTGAGCCTCCTGTACCGGCGATGTTGGCCGCGCCATCGAGCTTCCCAAAGATTTTCACTGTCTCTTCGATCCAGCTTTTGACTTGCTCGGAATCGCTGACGTCCACAACGGTGGCCTCAATACGTACTCCAGAAGCGGACAGCTCTGTCGCCAAACTTAACAAGGCGTCTTTTTGGACGTTTGAGATTGCAAGAGATGCTCCACGGGTGGCGAGGTAAGTCGCGACTGCGCGTCCGATACCGCTAGCAGCTCCGGTGATGGCAATCACCTTTCCGTCGAAGGATTTCAAAGTGGTCGAGGCCATGATTTCTGAACAGCGCTGAAGGATTTGCGAATGATGATGATTGGAATGATGCTGAGTTGAAACGCATGTTTACCTGTGTGGCCATCTTCTAGGATTATATACTTGTGAGTTGCGCGCCTCCATAACGCGACGTCACAACTCGGGAGGTCTGGAAGTCTAACTCAAACCCATTCTTCCCGTCAGTGCCTGCCCCAATTACCCCGCGATAGAAAGATTGATCTGATAGTTCAGGCGCGCCACTGTGCCTTGACGTTAAGAGCACGGTGTTGGCAGCCTGGAGATTTTCTGCTGTTGCTCAGCTCCGTCGGAAGTTTGTTCAGACCGCGTCCGCTGGAAGCATCGGCGGCACCCTTGCCGTTTCCGGCAGGCTAAGCGCCGGACGAAGCTCCGTAAGTCAGGGGTGGCGGCGGGAATTACCCACCGGACACAGCCGTCGCCGCCGGCCGCCCGCTGAATTATTCTCCGCGATAATCCGGCACTGAGCCGCCAAGAGATCTTGGAGAAATGTTGAAATTTCAATCGCAGATTATGTTGCAGGAGTTGTCGTCATCCGCGGACGCCTACTATGTTGCAACCACTTGTAATGTTCGCATTACACTCCGCGATATCCGCAACGGGTTTCCGCGGACCCGAAACTGTGCTCCACCGTGACAAGCCATGGTGATAAAACAGGAGCCATGGGCTTCATCTTCAAAGCTGTTTTCGATCGCCATCAAATCAATAATTGAAAGCAAGGCTAATCGTATTTCACTCCTTCCACCTATGTCACAATTTTCTAAAGAATCACCCACGGACATGTTCTACGTCGTAGCCTCTGCCGTTGCGGCGCTTTCCTTCTTTCTCTACTCCCTGTACCAATATCTACTCCCCAAGCCAATCCCTGGAATCCCATACAATGTCGACGCTACCAAAAACTTGCTGGGAGACATTCCCCGTCTGCAAAAAGAAGCCAACACAAATGTCTACGGATGGCTCATCAACCAGACCCGCATCCACAAGAGCCCTATCATCCAGGCCTTCATCGAGCCCTTCCACCAGCCCTCGGTCCTCGTCGCCGACTTCCATGAGGGCCAGGACATCCTGATGCGCCGCAAAGAATTCGAGCGTTCCGATTTCAGTATTGCACTTCTTGGCGGAGAGGCCCCAAAATTCCACATCAACATCAAAACAGGACCGGAGTGGAAGGCTCACCGGCGCCTCCTGCAGGATCTGATGACGCCCAAGTTCCTACACGGAGTCGCGGCCCCTAATATCTACAAGAGTTCCACGCGCCTTCTGGACCTTTGGAAAATCAAGGCGCAGACTGCGGTGGGGCACGCGTTCCAAGCGGACATGGACATCTTCTACGCCGCGCTAGATGCTGTTTTCGACTTTGGCTTTGGCGATGCGATCGAACAGAGAGCCTTGATCCCGCAAATAGAAAAGGTTGCGGCAGCTGAGCAGGACAGAATCAACGGACCCAACAACGCCGGCAGCAACAACGCCGTCGAGTTCCTTTCCGCCCCTATCGACCCGTCGTTTCAAGCAACACTGAATTCCGTCGAGAACGTGGGCCCAGTTGCCGCGAGCGGTTTCCCCAAACTTGCTTGGTGGTTTATCGGATGGAGACCCAGCGTGCAGCGCAACAGAGCCATTCTCGACAGGTTCTTGAAAGAGCAGATCATGAAGGCGGTCGATCGATACAAGGATGAAGGCGCGGATGACAATGATGACTACGTCAAATCGGCCATTGACCTCATGGTACAGAGGGAAGGTACATTTGCCAAAAAGGAGGGGCGAGATCCTGTGTTTTGGAGTCAAACAATGAAAGACGAGGTAAGAAGACTGCCTTGTTTAATTGGATCGATCTGACGAGTTGTGTCTGCTAGACTCTTGGCTTCATCGTCGCCGGACATGACACCACAAGCACCACCTTGTGCTGGGGCGTCAAATTCCTCTCGGACAACCCAGAACCCCAAAGTCGATTACGCCAGATTCTCCGGAGCAAGCACGAAGCTGCTGCAGCCGAAGGCCGCGCTCCTACGTATGCTGAGATTGTACAAACCAGCGTACCATACCTGGATGCCTTGGTCGAGGAGATGCTACGCTTAGCCCACACAACTATCATTCAGGAACGTCAGGCTAGCGAGGACACCATTGTACTCGGCCACCGGATCCCCAAGGGTACTAACGTCTTCGTCGCCAATCAAGGCGCCAGTTTTACGGAGCCCGCATTCGATATTCCCAACCCTCTCCGCAGTGAGTCGTGCAAGAATGCCATGGAGGAGCGTGGGATGCGATCCTGGAATGAGGATGGCATGAACCAGTTCTGGCCGGAGCGGTGGTTGGTGACCAACAAGGAGACCGGAGAGCAGGTCTTCGACTCGGCGGCTGGGCCTACCATCCCATTCGGCCTCGGTCTTCGGGGGTGTTTCGGCCGCAGACTAGCATACATGGAGTTGAAGCTCTTGGTTACTCTTCTGGTGTGGACCTTTGAATTCTTACCTTGTCCGACGGAGCTGTCGACTTACGAGGACGTTGAGGGGTTGACTCGTAAGCCGAAGCAGTGCTACGTCAACTTGAAGGTCCTGTAGAAGCAAAGCCCTTTCACTCGAGAATCAAGGTGGGTTAGATAATTTCCTGTAAGATAGGCATAGCCGGCGGAGTAGATGATAGACAGTCATTGGCAACGGGAGCGATGAGCGTACATCACGGCTGGGAAATTTCTTTGAGTCGACAGAGAGTTTGTTGAAACTACTTGGAACATTTCATTTCAATCATCGCTTAAACTCCTCCAACAATGCAACTTAGTTATTCACCAACCCAACTCAATGACCGAAACCAAGTTCTGAAGCACAGTTACAGCGTCTCATAAGTTTCTCGCCCTTGATATAGTGTTCTCCGTGAGCATGAATGCTACAACTTTGAACAAAGACAAAAACCAAATGCTTCGGCCTATGGTATCTTGAGTCTTTACTCGATCTTATAGGCATTGAACTGCTCCGGAATGTCGGTCGTGTTGGCGCCGCTTGCTGCGATCGTGAGACTAGAAGTAAACAGTCAGTAAAGGTCGCGACGACAGATATACTCGAGGTCATGTTTCATCTTGGGTGGATAAGTGCTTACTACACAAGCACGTCAGTTAGCCGTCATCACAAAATCCCGAGACAAGGAGTAACGTACCAGTTCAGTGAGAGGAGCGCCCTCCAAGCCAGCAATATCATACTTGCCACCGTCCTCCAGGAGCAAGGTGTCCGGCTTCACCTGGTTGGCGCAGCCGCCGGTGGAGCAGGAGTCGTCCTCGGCACGCTTGCGAGCAGCGAAGCCGTAGCCGCCGCCGGAGAAGCCGCCGGAGTAGAGGCAGATGAAGTTGGTGTTGCGGGCGGGCTGGACCTCTCTCAGGTTGTTGCAGTTGCCGCCGGAGTGGCCCCTGCACTCGAGGTTCCAGTTGGTCGGGATGCCGCGGAAGCCGACGGTGGGGAAGATGTCGACGCCGGAGCCGCTGCAGCAGGTGTTGGGGTTGACGTTGGTGCACAGGACGGCGTTGCCGCCGCAGCCGCCGCCGACGTGGAGGTAGATGTCAATGGCGGAGACGCTGGCGACGAGGCCGAGGAGGATCTGAGGGAAGTGCATTTTGGAGAAGGGTGAGAGGTGAGTGTTGGGATCTTGTTGGTGGATCAATGTGGTGGTGGGATGATAGAGGAGAGACGAGGAAGAACCTGAGGGAGACGATGAGCGTCCTTTTATACATGCTTTGATGTCCTCTTCTTGTATACCGTTCGATTTTTGATGCATCACATTATGCCCGCCGAGCTTGGCTGACCGACTGGCCTCAATCTTCAGTCAGTCTGAATAGGCAGGTACGAAAACGGAGGAGGCGATCATGAAGCCTTTCGACTGCTCTACAAACCCCGTATGGTCGCCTCGGACTCGAGACGCTTTAGCCATGAGCCATTTTGACCCGCCTATGCAGCCTTCAGGCGCATCGATTGTCAAGTTATACTAAGTCTGAGATCAAATGCAAAGACTAAAGTGGTCGTATAGCCAAATGAGTCTTGGCAAAAGAACAAAACACTATTCATTAGCTGTAGACTGGCAAGCTACGCGCTGCTACGGTATACATAGTAGCATTTGGCAGAAGAACTTTGCATAGAGTTTCATTAATATGCCAACATCTGAGCTCACTCGTACTCCACAAACCTACCTAGGTAAGCATATGGAGCCCCATGCTAAGTTCCGAGTGTTGCCACCCTAACTGAGTCCGAGCAAAGCCAATCGCAACATTTCCTGAGTTCTTGAATAGAGGTTGTAAACTCGGGCGCTGTTGGAATAAGCCCACAACCCCTCACTGGTGGATCTATGACAAGAAATTGGCTCCAGCCCAGCCTTGTTGTCGCTGGGAACTGTGGTTCAAGTGCTCGTTGCCTAAGTGCTAATGTGGAGCCAACCCCAAGCATCGAGTATTCCGACGATGTGACTTGCTGGCTCGGATTTCGGATAGTCCCCATCAACTGAGCTGCAATGCAGCGCCCCGACCCGCAACTAAACTCTTGAAGGCAATGCCAAATCTCAATACGAAATGAACACATTGGAGAAGGTTCAATCTGACTTAACGAACCCTGCGCTAGCGCAGGGTTCACCGGGGAGATCCATCCGTGGAGGCGAATGACCGGCGCCTTATTCGTCTGTTCGCTTGCGCGAATCAATCCACAGGTCCATACTGAGGGAACGTAATGAGTGCGAATGGTCAAATCCAATGTGCTTAGAACCATGCGAGGTCTGGCACCGCTGTTGCGCGGAGAAATGTTTTCGGGCCAAGGTGTATTAATGCTGACATAGGCTAGGCACAACTAAACCAAAGTAGTGAATATAAGTGACGTGCTTGTCATCATGCAACTTTGTGCGGATTTTATCGGAATTTCATTTTCTTCAAGAGATGCTAGTTAAAGATGCGAAGACACCTATAAGAGTCACACACAAGTCTGGATAATTTAATGTGATGGTCCAGTACTTACCCGATCAGGACAGCAAAACTCCTAGGAAATGCGTCTATTCTTTGTTTCCATCCTTTTTCGTGCATAGAATTGTAGACATCATCTAAGTATGTCTGTATATTTCGCTTCATGATTTGTCCGGACGTCTCCGGTTGGTGGCGCCAGAAGCAAACATCACGCAACTACCCACTCCATCGCCACGGGTCACAGGCACACCTTGACTGTTTGGGCATTCGCTCACCCCATCTCTCAAATCTCGCTCATCATCGATCTTCACTCATATGCTTCCCATGATCATGGAAACTGAGTTTGACGCCTTTGAAATCGACGACTTTGGCCCTTCGGTCCGGGTCCAGGTGCCAAGCACCAACGAGGGTCTCAGCCAATTCAACCAGGCCTTTTTGGACCCGCAGCAACGCGCATACGTCCAGCACATCAACTTCCACGTCGTCCTCCCAGCCATCAGTAATAAGCGTCTGAAGAAGTTGCAGAGCTCAAAAGAAGCCGCGGAAAACGACACTCATTTCACGAAAGCTGTCACGAAATTCCTCGGTCGGCTGGCGAAATGGGAGCGCCGCCGGTATGGCCCGGGGATCACGCTGAAGATGATCGTCGCGTCGCCGACGGACTGGCTAGTGGAGGAGATGGAAGAGGACGGGGAGCTGTTTAATACGCACAATCACCGAGTCGCTCCAATATGGCAGGTGCGCGATCACTTTCGGTACATCCGGTTCGACGAGAGCGTGCTACCGCCGCCCGGGACTGGATCATCGCGACTGCCGCAGGTCGCGTGCGTCTCGGACTTTGAGTTCGACGGGGGCCCGGGTGGTCGCAATCTGCATCCCGACGTGATTTCGGCCATCTCGAGCGCCTTGACGTCGGCGAGGAAGATGGAGTGGAGGTTGAGGCTGCCGACGCGCCGTCTCATGTCTGCCCGGCGGGAAATCCGGTCCGCTCTTGGGAATGCACTGTTGAACACGGCGTTTCCGAGTCTTGTTGAGTTCAAAGTCAAGCTGGAGGATGCGGATCCCCATGATGAGACGTTTGAACCTGGCAATCTGTTAGACAACGGCGAGCCGGAGGACAGATTAAGTCTCGGTGTGCGGCGACTCTGCCAGCTTCCCACGCTTCGGAGATTACATCTAGAGTCGCTGTGGATTTTATCGCCAGTCGCCTTGGGCTCGCGACCGAATCCAGAAGACATGCTGTCCTCATCTCTGGAATACCTCTACGTGGACTGCGCTGTTACGACCCCGGATGGAAGATACTTACTGACCGGGAACCCTGAAAAAGCCATGATGGACGACGGAGGCTACGCGACAACCTCTGACGCATCTCTAGCGACATTCGACTCAGATGATTCGGACGCCTCAGACTTCCAACCGGACTTTGAGTGGGCCAAGCAGGCCGGCGAATTCCCCGGGCGCTGGTTCCGACTGACCCCCGACCCAGCCACCTTCACACCCCTGGCTGTCTCTTTCGCCGAAACTGTTGCCAAGATGCCATCGCTGCGGCGAATGGATGTGCATTTTGGGGGAACGGCGGCGAATACCCGAGCACCCCTGGAAATGTCTTACTTTGCGCCTGGGGAAGCAAATCGTGGGGCAAGCCAGCTCAACGGCCGGAAGAAGTTTGACGAGGAACACGTCGATCGGCCGCGTTGGTTTCTCCTTGGGGGCCGGAAGTTTGATAAGCACTGGGTGGTACCGAAGGAGCTGGAGGACGCATTTAAAGGACGGTCAGAGACTGGCTGCTTTCATCTTACTACCAACTGAGAGGGAAGACAAGATCGTAAAATATGAAGCTTTCTAATCCGGATTATTCTTTCAAAGGCCATCGTGATCATCGAGCGCCCGATGATCTTCCCAACTAGGTAATAGAAGGTAGCAAACCATATTTAACCGAGCACATGATCGCTTAGAGAGACAATCTAAACGGGCAGCGCGAGGTAACATCCAACCAATATCATGCAGACAGGCCTGCATTCCGCCATTTCCGGGCATCTGCGCCCCAACAGACCCGCCTCGCTTGCGCACTCATCCATCCTATCCATTCTGAAGTTCCTCCATCCCGCACATGGCCGCCATCCTCCCCCGCCGCTCCACCCTGTCCGTTTGAAGGAGGTGCCAGATAACGGAACATCGGCGGCCTTTAAAAATCACGCAATCGCCGGCAGAGTTGCAAATGTCGTGATTTTAGACCGAAGCACGCCGCCGATATTCTTCTCTGACGCCGAAAGAAAAAATGGGCGGAGCGCCGTCCGTTCCCACCGATCCGTCCCGGAGGATCCAGGTCATCGGCGCGGGGTACTCCCGGACCGGAACCGTCTCTCTGCAGCTGGCGCTGGAGAAGCTCCTCGACGGGCCCGTGATGCATGGCGGCACGCAAGTTCTCCATCGCGAAGATGGTACGTTTGCTCATTCCACTATTTAGTTGATGGGTCGAGATGTGAGAGATTGTGCTAATTAATGGTGCGAAATCAGCATACTGCAAGAAGCTCGCGCAGGCGTACGAGGCCAAGCGCGCCGGCGATAAAGCGCGACTCCACAGGCTGCTAGAAGACATTTTCGCGGGGTACGTCGGGTGCACCGACATGCCGCCGATCGACTTTATTCCCGACCTGCTGGAGCTGTACCCGGACGCCAAGGTGGTATTGACGACACGGGACAACGAAAAGTTTGCGAAAAGTATCCAGCTGGTAGGAAGCAATGCCTCCATATGGTGGCTGCCGTACGTGATGTGGCCGGTTCCCGGCTGGCGCTGGTTCCCGACGCTGGTGAATGAGTTCACCAACTCGGCGATGAAAATCAAGGGCCCGACAGATGGCCAGGACCATTGTCACTGTGAGACCTTTCTCTGCACCCCCCCCACAAAGGCATAGAGACTTGTACGTGCGAATACTGACCTTTGCACCAGCAATACTTCCGAACTGGAATCATTCGGTGCAGCAGATGGTGCCGGCTGACAAGCTGCTCATCATGGATCTGAAAGAAGGGTGGGAGCCTCTGTGCAAGTTTCTGAACGTGCCTGTTCCTAATGAGCCGCTGCCGAGAGCGAATGACGCGGCTGCAATTGAGAAGACCGCCCAAGAGGTCATTGTCAAGCTGATGGGCATATGGAGCGGTATGTTTGCGGCGTCTGGCGTGGTTTCATTTACCGCTTGGAAGCTTTGGAAGACCAGGTAGCGTTGGGTGTGCTTTAGGGGACAGGGGTCAGCGGAGCGGCTTCAATGAATACCTGCGTGCCAAAGGCGTGCGGCAGCAAAGATAAAAATTTCGTAGAGAAGATGAATGTGATATTCATTTCGAAAGAAACGTTTCTGAGAATGACACAAGAGGATTCCATTAAAACATGATTGGTCAGGAGCAATGAGACGAACTCGATCCCGCCCAAGTGTTGTGCTCCACAGCGAAACAGTGTCACTGAATGGTCTCCACGGAGGGCAAAAAAGGTTTCGCAAAGTCTTTCCCTCCCGAAACTCTAAGACTACTCTATCAAGACGACAAACTCTTCTCAAGGTTCGCACTTCGATGATATAAATACTATCCGTACTAGCTCTGTAATGCTGATCTAAGGTGGACCATAACTGCCGACATCCGTACACCTCGTCACGCCTTAACGGCCCTGTTGCTCGGAACAGCCCCACCTCGGATTCCACTTCGGATTCGCTTTCACGGTCTTAAGAAGGGATGATGATCATGACCCGGTACTGAGAACCAAACTACGGCTTCTAGAAAAGCGCTCGCCGCGTAATCTGAGTCGCATCATCGAGGCTCAGCAATATGAAGAAAACAGGCGATCTGCGTTTGTTTTACGTACGGCGTGGCCGAGTTATTCTTTGCTCCCTTGTCCAATGACGATTGTTTAGTAAACCAAACGGACTGACCAGTCTACATCATGAGGCGGCTCAGGGGCTCATATAAAGACCAAAGGAAAGCTGCATAGCTTTTGAAATTGGGCTACTATCTTCCACAGACATACCGACTACCACATTCGTTCTTCTTTACACAACGCCTCGCATCATGTGGAAGCTCGCCGCTGCCGCAACACTCCTCGCAGAGGCCAATGCGGCTTTCTCAACTGTTGTCCAAACAAAGTATGGATCTGTTCAGGGCTATCCGGCTTTCAACAACACTCCGGTCAACATGTCGCTCACCAATTGGGCCGATATCACCGTCTGGAAAGGCATCCCCTTCGCAGCAACCACCGCCGGCGAAAACCGCTTCAAGCCTCCTCAGCCCGTGACCCCCTGGAACACGACCCTCGACGCCAAAGACTTTGGCAACGCCTGTCCCTCTGCACTGGGCACCGGCGAAACCGAGTACTCCATCGGCGAGGACTGCCTGAGCCTCAACATCTGGAGCGCGGCGAACTCGTCGGACGCCAAGTTGCCGGTCGTGATGTGGAGCTACCCGGCCGGATCCAGCTCTGCGTTCCCCCTTTTCGACGGAGCCGGCACGGCTGATAAGGGCGTGGTGTTTGTAAACTACAACTACCGCACTGGTTCCTTCGGGTGGCTTGCTACCCCTGAGCTCAACGAGGAGAGGCTTGCGAGTGCTGGGTCCAACAGCTCTGGGAACTGGGGAATGCTCGACCAGTTCGCGGCTCTTACTTGGATCCATGAGAACATTGCCCACTTCGGTGGTGACCCGGATCACATCACAGTCATGGGCCAATCTGCCGGCTCCGCAGCCACATACCATATCCTGAACAGCCCTCTCCACAATGTCACCATCCACGGAGCCATCATCCAGAGCGGTGTTCGAGACCCTCACGATCCTTTGGCCACGAGTCTTGCGGAGAACTACCGCACCTTGGATGTGAACATGGACACTGCAGCGAGGTTCATGGCGTCTTTGAACTGCTCCGACATAGCCTGCATGCGCGCGTTGCCGATGGACGACCTGGTCACCGAGTTCCTGTCGTCTGAATTTGACTTCACCGCAACGCTCGATTACTACGCCATGCCCGACACCTACCTCAACACCCTGGAGAAGGGTATCGCACAGGACGTCCCCATCATGACGGGCAACACCAAAGACGAGAGCGGCGCCTCGTACGGACTCAACATCACCCTCGCGACGTATCTCTCCGACCTTAACGAGACCTACGGCACCTGGCAACAGGAGTTCCTCGCAGCATACCCCGCCAACGACTCCGCGACAGCCTCCGCGGCCTACAATGCGCAGTTCACCGACCGGTCAAAGGTTGGCACCTACTTCTGGTCCCAGCTGTGGGCCAAGAACGCCACCTCTTCGGTCTACAACTACATCTGGGACCATGCCCCGCCCGGTCAGACCCAGGGGGCGTACCACGAGAGCGAGATCAACTACGCGATGAACAACCTGTACGGAATGGATCTTCCGTGGACAAGCGAGGATTACGCGATTGCTGAGACGATGAACGCGTACTGGGTTGCCTTCATCAAGAACGGAAATCCTAACGCGGAGGGGCTCGCGGAGTGGGCTGCGGCAACTGATGCTAACGCAACTGTCATGGAGCTGGGTGAGGGATTCCAGGTACTGCCTATCGCGAAGGAGAGCCAGATTGACTTGTTCTCACGGTGGTTTGACTCATTGGTAGCTTATTAAGTTGCATGTATAGGTAACCCTCCCGAAGGGTTCGAATTCAAAAGGTTCTTTCTTTTACGAACCTAATCTAAAGCTTAATGAACGTTCATCTGAAAAAGTGCCTGTGAAGCGGTCTCGTAACTGTGGCGAGCCAGATCAACTTCGTATCGCATCGATGATTGAAATCTGAGGATGGACGTAAGACCCGTTGACCATGTATTCTTCTGCCCCGTACCAACGGACTGAGATGGATGTCAGCAAGCTTGCAACAAAATGTCGCACCAGTTGTGCGGAGACGGCCTTAACTCACGGGTGACAGATATTGTGGCCCCCCCTGGTGTAATTGGCAACCAGCTGCATGCCTTCGTTAGCAATTTGTGGCTCAATGAACATCCAATGAGCAACTCACTTAGCTGTCCAGTTTGCAGGAGGCTCAATATCAGAGGCCTGGAGCAGTACTTGAAACTCTCTATGATCCCCCTTCGCAACTGGAGTTCCATCCGGAAATGTCAGATTGCTTCTGTCACCAACCATGTACTTTTCCATGTCGTTCGGAACGAGATCTTGGTCCGGACCGTACACCGTGAGACTCCAAAACCCGCCATCCTTGATTCTCGGGGGCTCGGGGAAGGTGAACAAAATAGACTTCCCCTCTTCGACCACAAGATCCCCTTCGTAAAAGGGATACACGCTCTCTGAAGGGTCGAGAGCCAAGTATGCTGAGGTTGCCATCTGGTACCGAGCTTCGTAGTGAGAGCCAAACTTCCCAATGTACCCTTCAGATACAATGAACCAGTCGTTCCCAACATCTTGGCAAACACCAGGCTTATCCAGGAAAGCGAGGGAAGTCTTGTTGGCAAGCTCGACCGCCGCCGTCAGGTTGGATCCTCGTGGTTGAGTGAATGTCCCATTGTTGAAACCCGCCTTGCGCAGCTCCGCAGCAACCCAATCCCTGTCTGAGGTAACGTAGGGCGGATTGGACGGAGCGAGCGCGGCGGCGACTTTCATGACGGCTTCGTAATAGGTAGATGTATTGCCGTCGTTGTACTCTGGTCTGGTGAACATGGTGAGATCCAGTGGCGGAGCGATCGGCGGCCCAGGTCTGGGGATAGTGCGAGAAACATTGAAGCCCAGCTGAAGCTTTTGGACAATCTTGACGTCTTCTGCGGAACGATCTGTGAGAATTCTGGAGTTAACCAACCCATAGACCATGGGATACTTGATGGCTCCGGCGAAGCCATCGGGGATGTTCTCGGTCTCGAGGCCGTAAGTGTCCGGGTCGTACTGAATGAGATACTCTCCAGGCTTGCTGACTCCAAGGTTCCCAATGTTGATCAAATTGTCGCCGTACCTGAGTTCAAGGAAATGTGAGTGCCGAAGAAGTAATTGAGGGGCATTTAATTACTCACGGCGTGCATATGGGAAAGACCCAGTACCGATCCTGTGGCATCTCTGGAATGTTGACCACGATGTCATCGGAAGACAGGTCAATAAACAAGATTGAATACATCGTGTCGGCATTTGGCCGTACAACCCCCACACCGCCTGGCTCATTTGGCTCTGGGTCGGGGAGGTTGACGTTTGGTTTCAGGGGGATTTCTCTGAGGATCGGCTTCGCGACGTTTCCGTAGGCATACAGAGAATAGCCGTACTATATGTTCTACGTCAGTCTTCTACATGTTGACATGGTTCAGGAACGGAGCTGCGACATACCGTGTACGCAAAAGCTAAAGCGTTTTGAGATTCGTGACTGGGGGTTGTATCGCCAAGTGAAAGACTGATGAGGCTCAAAACCCCGCTGGTAAGTGTTAATCTCATGGCAAGGTTTGATGGCGAGAAGGTTGTACGTATTGTAATGTGGAATCAAAGGACAGAGAAAGAATTTCCAGACTTCCTCTTGCTCAGTTCTTATAGAAATCGAGGCATCACCAGTTCAAACTCCCAGGGCCCCACGCCAGCCCGTCTGACGCGGGCAAGTTGGGGCAGGGCTAAGTCTGAATCATTCTCGCCTCAGCATGCGCCCGATTAATGAGACCAGAAATGGAAAGTGACGACAGAACTGGCTTTAAAATTCATAAATTACCGTCAACTTTAGATTCCGTTTATGGTAAAAACTCAACATACCAGAGCCAGCTAATCCTTAGCTGGTCAGCTGTTGTTCTGCCGACAGCAGTGATACGGCGTAGTTGTGTGATATACGCTGTTATCTTTGCTCTTATCGAAACGCACATTTGCTAGGCATTCTGGAGAAGCTTGATTTTGCCGACATGCAGCTTACCCGCATGCTTATTTCCGCCATCTTGAGGGCTGTACGACCGGCCCGGCGTCGCTGACGTCGGCTCACTGCAAGCCACACTGCGCCCAATTGGCCTCCTGGTTGAGATGATGGATAGATAAGCGTTTAGATAAGAGCTTTCTGCAGTCGTTAGTGTTCATACCGCTAGCGTGCTGTCACTTTTACTGAGGATAACTGAGTCTTCGATTTTCGTAAGTCCGCCGGCTCTGTATGAGAGTTTTGTGAAAAGGTGAACTCACAAGACTTTCTCTAGATTGCCTGTGTCATAAGATTTGATGCTCTACGACACAAGTTGCGCAAATGGCTTGAAGATTCGTCCAGCGAATGATGCCTCTCTGGCGCAGTACATAGAAAGCGACTCGAATACAGGGGGACTTTGGTCAGACGCCAAGCATGGCTGAGCTGATCCTTCGCCCTACGCTGCGCAGCATGTAGATCTCGCAGGCAACTTCAAAAGATCAATATTTCTTGACATATCTCGAAGACTCACCGATCAAAGCTCAAGGCGGATCGCAAAAGGCAGAAACTTCAACGTCTTCCGGAGCCTCAATGATTTGCTTCCCCACCCTATTCCGTCAACTCCAGCCAATGCACCCTGTCAGAACCATGTCAGTCGCGTCGATCCCACCTAGCACGAACCGTTCCCCAGACGTGGGAGGTGCGGAAAGCCTCCCAATCCGAACCGCCAAGTTCCCGACGAAGTATCGCCGCAACACGCCTCGCTCTAAAAACGGCTGTTTGTCATGCCGCGCGCGGCGGAGAAAGTGTGATGAAGTCAAGCCGAGCTGCACGTCTTGCAGCCGCAGTGGGCGGGAGTGCTCATGGCCTGTCAACGAGAATAACGACAACCAGAACACATCCCGGACTAGAAGCGACTTGAAAGAGCAATTGTCAAGTTCATCAGATGATTCAAGCCCTCAGCCAAAGGAGATCCCTGGCATGGGCCACTCTGAAGCAGTGATCCTCGCTCAATCAGTCGTCTCAGAAGGCCGATCAGCCAACGGCCTATTTTTGCGCCCTTCTCTTACCCCTGGGATCTTGTCAAATCTGAGTGACACCTCCCGCCAGCTATACGAACAGTACCTTTCCAACACGGCGGATATCTTAGCGCGAGGCCCAAGTGCCGATGGGAACCCGTTCATCAACTACGTACTTCCTTTGGCACTGTCGGACGGGCTCATTCTGGACTGCATCCTGGGCATCGGCGGGGCCCACATGGTTGCCCTTGATCCTAGTGCCCGACATGTGGAGGTGGCCACCCGCGGTCACTATGCACGTGTCTTGTCCGGGCTGCAGAAGGTTCTCGCCAATGAAGTCATGCCTTACTTTGGGAGCGGCAAGGAGGAGAAGGCCCAGTATGTGTTGCTGATACTTCTTCTGCTTTGTGTCTATGAGGTAAGCTATACGGCCGAGATCTTTATCAAAGCACGTTTGCTAAAGTGTTCTAGCATACGCAAGGAGATATAAACGGCTCAGTGTTCCATCACACCAAAGCCAGCCGCCATTATGTCCTCAGCCTCACAAAGAAAGGGCCAAATCCAAGTTCTGACAGGCTGGGTCACATCAGAGGCTTCCTGCTGGAGATCTACTCATTCATGGCATTGAAACTGGCAATTACGCCGCGAGGCGCAATGGAAGACCATCCCATTATACTGGATCCCTTCCTAGAATCTTTGAGCTTCCTCGGCGAGTACAAGTCCTGCGGTTTTATGCTCGGCTTCGGACACGGGCTGTTTGAGATGATACCCGAGATAGCCAGTCTCGTCGAGAAACGGCGCTTGGAGGAGCTCAACAACGCCAAAACTGAAGCGTCGTATGCTGCCTGCCAGGACCTCGTAGAACGCTTAGAAGGCTGGGATGCGTTCTCTGACGTTCTCACCGGCGAGGGCTCGAGTCCGCGATACCAACAAGGCCCAGCAGTCGCCATCTATCGTACCGCCCTGATCGTATATCTTCACTCTGCGTTCCATGAAGACTTGCATGAGCGCGAGGACCTCTGCGCTGAAATCGATTTGCACATAGACAAGGTTTTGCCATTGATGTGGGCTGTATACTCAAGCGCCGCGCCGTTTCGCAGGATGATGCTCTGGCCGGCGTGTATTCTGGCTTCGTTTTGCAGGCGACCGCAGCTTGCTGATGGCTTCAGGATGGGGCTGAACTGCAACACGCGGGCGCCGGGCGGGGTGAAGGTGGCGGCGAAGGCGATGGAGATGCTGTGGGCAGACCCGGATCCTCGTGCGTATGGGCCGCGCGGGTTGAGTATGGTGATGAAGAAACATGGGCTTAGCTTTAGTATGGGCTGAGTTACTTCAGATCGTGGTACATTTTGTACTCTATTTCAGGTAAGAAGATGGCCACAGGCCAAAGTCAGGCTTGCACTTGGGGGCACTAGGACAAATCTCCAAGTATTTATAGTCCATGGGAAGTAACTTTGTGAAGTATTTCCCACTCAAGGGGAACACGGCTTTGGTATCTAACCGATATGATCCTGGTAATCTAGCCGCCCTTACAGCTGGTGCAGGACATGTCAGATAACTAGAAAAGAGTTAGGAGTACAAATAGCCTAGTGCCGGTTGTCCGGCTCAGAAGCGATGAAACGAAAACAGTGATAGACCCTCATATTCAAATGACCTTGATCCGTTCCATGGGTACATCTTCGAACCACATTGGGTTGTGGACGTACTCCGTAACACAACAGCCAAGGCGTCTAAATTCCTTCTCCCGACCGGTAGACTCCAAGATGAGCCCGTACCACATGCTGTGGTTCTCCTTGCGACGTACTAACTGCAGGCAATACAAAGGCTGGTCATTGGCCTTGAAAGGCTCGTCAAAGATGATTTTACCGACAACTTCACCTTTTTCCAATAGGTAGTCGGACACCGCGTCTTTCGCACGAGAATTCGCCTGAACCACGTGAAAGTATCCTGGGTCCTGAGGGTTCTGCCGTTTGTCGAACGCTCTGATCTTGCCCGATAGCACAAGATGACCAGATTTTACCATCCCCGGCGGATCAAGACCGCGTGGAGTAATCATCGTTTCGATATCGTCTACTGTAGCCTCGTAGGCGTAACCGTACTCGGTGCCAACAACATTGGCAATTCCGCCCTCTACGGAGGCCCAGGACCAGCTTGGGGCGCAATACCCATACGGTGAGCGTCTTAACCAAGGGCCAACCCGACACCAAAGTAGGCTATGGGCCAGATTTTTCTTCCAGAGCCCTGCCACATACTCGATCCCGGTGCGTTCTTCCATCACCTTGGCAAGAACAGAGAGGGCTGGTAGCCGGTCGGAGGACTTTGTAATGCGTCGTTTGACGAAACCACATACCATGCTATTCCAATCACGATCGAAGCTGGAACGCTCCCCTGTCTCCAGAGTATACGGATAAGACAGGTTGAGATCATTCGGCACCTCCTGGAAGATCCCATCACAGAAGTCCCACCCGGGGGGTATCCCGTCTTCTGCGACACGGCGTTCCCGACATTGCCAGAGTAGCTGATCGGCGTCGAAGTTGATCATGCGAGAAGAAAACACCTTTTCTTGGAAGACCCAGGCCCGGTTATGTAAAGTTCTCTTTGGGAGATGTAGGAAGTCTTCAGGTCGTGGTCGGACCATCACTCGAACAGGATGATTCCCGTCAGGCTGCGAACATGTGAGCTCCACATGGCTCGGTGTGTCTCGAGGTATGAAGCAACCGCCTCTCGAGTCAATTGAGCCTGATGCAGCGATGGTGAGGTAAGAGGAGGAGTAAATAAAGCCCATATTGGCGCTTTCCCGATTCCAGTCGTCTTCGGAATCTTGGATGATACACAGCGAGTCAATCCATAGATACTGGATGCCCATAGCCCTGGTCGCGACAACGGCGTCTCTGAAAGTATTGGGAAGTTTCGATAGCGGTAGTGCCTTGAGGTGATCCTCAAGTGTCAGAATCGTTGTCTGGATGACGGGATGAAGGCCCCAGCAGTGGCTCAGCGTCATGTACCGGCCTATTTTCCCATTCGTCACCACCAGTCGAGGCTCTTGTTTCCCATCTTCTCCAACGTCGATCACCCGTGTTGGCAACTTTCCAATATCGGCCCGACAGCTTGAGTGATGCTGATCGCATTCATGAGCCCATTCACGCAGCAGGTCAAGATGCTGCTCAGCTGGCCTGATCCTTCTGGTGAGAATGATGTTGTCTAGATGCGTTATAGAATCATCGTTTTCGTCTGCCGAGTAAAAGGTCAAATATCCTGATAGTCGAAAACGGTCGCATCGGACCTTACAGCAGTAAATACTGTCTGATTCGTAGTCATCATCGATGTATGGGATGATACCGCGAAGGACGACCGGGGACTCATGGTCATCATCTTTCTCGAGTATGGAGAAGAGGTCGCTGTCTTCGGCTTGGTCTTTTGTTAGGGTCGTCCAGAGCAGTCGGCAGAAGCCGCATGTCGATTCACTACTCTTCAGCTTCGAGAGAGACTTGTGGAAGACGAGGTCATGGACGTCGCGGTCCTGATCGAAGAGACTGGCCAGGTCAAAGCCCTCGCATGTGCCGCAAAGTGGCATCTCGGGCAGATGTTGCAGACCGAACTCCAATGCTCAGCTAGGTAAAAGTCTTCGAAAAGTGCAAATGAGGGGTCGAAAATCAGGCAGAAGTGAGATTGAAGTGGCCAATTGTAACAAAATCACGTGTACTAGGTAGGTATGCACGCCAAGTCGTGTGATTAGCCAGTCAAGGGGCGCGGAGTATCATAAAAGTCTATTGCCAGTTTTCTGGCTCAGGTATCATGGGTCATAAAACAGGTATCAATACGGCGTCCCGGAGAACTCCATCAGTCATGTCGCGTAGGTCTTCAATCGGACCCTTTAGCAGCCACCGCCGCCGCCGCCGCCGCCGCCTCCATCACCACCACCACCACCACCTCCGCATCCTCCACCTCCGCCATCACCACCGCCGAAGCCATGATGTCCTCCGCCGCCGCCGTCACCTCCCGTCGCTCCGACATATGCGAAGCCAGGACTGGTGTAGTGGTGTCTGTGGCCGCCATTGCGATGAATGGTGTTTCGGCCTGTGGTGCCGTAGTTGCTGCTCCACGCCGGTGCTGGCCTGGGCGCGTACTCGGACTTTTCGTATGTGTGCTTCTTTGAGGAGAATGGGAGACACATCTTGAGTGCTGGTTATCTCAGAAGTGAAGGAGTATTGATGTTCAGGTTTGTGATTGTGGATTGTTTGTGTGTAGGAGTAGTATTGTGATGGTTCGAAGTTGTGACCAGGCAGTTGTTTGTTGTTTTGATGGAGTAAGAAGTGATGACAAGTTGTAAGGTGCAACTGCCTTCATTAAATAGAATATCCTTTGAATATGCTAGGCAGTCGTAGCTCTGACGTGACTGCCTTACCGGCTAGAGACAAGCTTCACCAAGACGCAGGATCGCCCGGGCAATTCTGCCTTCTAGAAGCCTTCTAGCGTGGGGAAGGATCATGGCAGACGTAGCATGATGGCACAAATTGGCCTATCGACCAGTTACCCGAAGGATAACGCTTCAGCCTACATTCAAAAATTCAGCCTTGCACCACTGCCACCCAGATTCTGTTTGACATTAACTCAAAACGGGGGAGCTGAGAGTGCAGCTGACGGGAGGGTGGATCCCGGAGGCAGAGCCGTGCTTGTGGGTCCCGCGAATCTCACACTGCAGTGGCCTCTGACAGGTGCGGGCGGCCTAGCCGGGGCTGGGGGCCCCCGATCGCCGGTCGGGATCGGCCAATGACGTAGGCCGGCTAGGTCCGCTGCCATACACGTTGGGCGCAGCGTGGGCACAGCCTGCGCCAGTGAGCCCACCCGCCCGGTACGTGCGTCACTCAGGGTCCTCCTTGAATTCGACGAGAAGACACAAGAATGCCCAGCCCTTCATCCTGCTGGTGCTTCTTTTCGCTGAGCTGGCGCTTCGATGTTCGGCATGGCGTAGGCTTACTGATCGGCGGCCAACAGGGTCACGTCTGTGGCTCTTGCACAGCGAATGTTAGGGAACGATTCGTGTGATGCGTCAGAAGGATTCCAGGACGTGGCTTCGTGAGTCCTCAAGAGACTTTGTTTCTCCCCTTCGGTGAAGAGAGCGCTGACGCTGGATTAAGGGATGGCTTGAGTGACGTAGGCAGACACAAGGCCGCATGACTAGTGCCACGACACTCTAACAGTCACAGTGGAAGACAACTTGATTGAAAGGGTATCATTTTATTCCCATCGTGCGAATAATCGTCAAACGTAGATAGAGTCGAGAGAGCGCCGTCCGTAATCATGAGCCGTCGCCGGCAACAGCCATCCCATCTCATCGTGTCCCAAAAATATTACAAGGTGAACGCCAAGCGGCAGATAGACTTCCCGAACCCCCGCACCACGGCCCCATCCGCCGGATCCCCAGTGCATCAACCTCCGAGCTGTCAAAAACAAACTGTAGACTCCCAGAGAAATATCCTCATTCCGCCCCTAGTATCCCTTATTTCCTTGGCTTGAGCGGGTCTGATGTGAAGAACCAGTCCAAGAAGCTGGACTTGAATGAACTCGGTGGAGATGATGGCGTCTGCGTCGCCTCGTCGCAGCGTTCTGATGGCTCCGCTTCGTGGATATCTGCTCGGAGAGCGTCCTTGAAGTCTGAGCTGAACTCGATGATCGAGCGGCGGTGCGGCCAGCCACCGTACGCTTCGCTACCGGCGGTAAACAGCATTCCGGACATGATTGTGGCTGGTGTGGGGCTGAGTGTTTGGAGGTTGGAGATGAACGGTTGAGGCAGTCTCGATGGGCTGGGTTTTACTTGGGGTATTGATTCGACGGATGCAGTGTGTTCTTGGGAGTGTCTTCGTTCAGTTGTCAAGTGGTATGTCTGTCAACCTCCTTGACGTCCGACGAAAACGGACTGGGGGCCCTTCATCTTTATACCCCAACATTCATGCCGTTGGACACGTCGTAAACAGGCCACGACCAGCTGACCCTCAAACGCGTGGCTGAGATCAAAGGTCTCGCTTCCTTGGGATTTCAGGGAGGATCTACGCTACACACCAGTTCCAGCCCGCCAAGATCATCAGGAACGCGGCACTCGATTGGCCCGTCGCCTCGAGCGGGTCGTAATCAAGAATAAGGAGCCCGGGATTGGTCACATTCCCCCCAAGGGAGAGCTCCCCCAAAGGCCGGAACCGTCCAAAGATATTTCCCTCTCAGCAGAGCGCGTCGGACCACTCGGCGGTTTGCGATTACCATTCCTTTCAATTGCTACTGGTATATGCATGTTACGGCAGCGTAGCTCCCGCCTTGTGGCCCAACAGCCCCGTCCACGTGTCCCCGCTAGCGTCATCCTCTTTGAGCATACGCCAGCCCCCGCGAAGCCTCGGCCGCCAGACCAGATACCTTCGACGTTCAGTCAAAGTACCTCATCTTAACGCCCTTGATGACCTCGAGGTCGTTGACCGCGTTGTCGCCGGCCGCCGAGCTCGTGCTGCCCAGGTTCTTGATGATCCGCTCCCGGACCCATTCCCCGGCCTTGACAGGCTTCCCGTCGGCCCCCAGCACGGCCCCGTCCGCGAGGCCGCGCCGCTGCAGGACAGGGGACTCCCTGATCGGCACGAGCTCCGTGTCGTCCTCGATGCGCACCATGTAGATCACGCCCAGGCGGTTGATGTGTGCTTGGTCCCGCGGCGGGGCGACGACGCGGTGGATGCTGGACTTGAGGTAGCCGTCTGGGGGAGGGGTCAGTAAGCGACGGCTTGCGTGTGTGTGAGGCGCGGGGGATGGGTACTTGTGAGGAATTGTAGTGCGTCGGCGATGTTGACTGTCAAGGCGTCGGTTTGGGGCCGCACCCATTTCCAGGTGCCTTCGTTTGTGAGGACTTGGAGGGCGGCGACGGGCTGGCGGAAGAGGAGGGTCAAGCTGCCCATGTCGGAGTGTCTGATATCGCAAACGTTGTCAGCTTCGAGAGTGCATCTTGGACGGAGGACCATAAGCCATACCCTTTCAGCCATACCCCGTCAAGCTTCTCATTCTCCTCTTCGCTCCTCGCATAATACTTCATGTACCTGAGATGGTCCCCGCTGCTCTTCTCATAGCGATGCTTCTTCACAAACCAGTCCTCATCATCCAACCCCAGTGCGAGGGCAAAGATGACCAACAGCTTCTTGACGATGTGGTCATGCACGTGCCTCGAGAACTTCTCGATGGTCGCCCAGTGCTCCTTCACAACTTCAGGGTGCGGCCGCTCGGCGTGCTCGGGGATGAACTTGGGGATGTTGTAAATTTCAAAGTTGTCGCGCACCCCCGGGATCAACTCTCGCGTCCCAGCGGGCTTCCACCCGTTGTAGTCGCCGGCTTCGAGTGCCGCCCGGTAGGGTGTCTTTTCCACATCTGAGAGCCCGAGGACGGATGACGCAAGGGCGAATTGTGTGTCGATGTCTTCTCTGCTCAGGCCGTGGTTCACGACGTAGAAGAAGCCTGGAACCACGCACCTCGTCAGTCACTCCCTCCATGGAAAGCTTCTGAGCAACTGGGGCTAGGCTTACCAATTTTCTCGATAGCAGTCGCTAGCTCGGCTGCCAGCTCATGCTTACCCCCGGGTCGGTCGAATTTGGAAAGGTCGAGGGCGACTAGATCGGCCCAGTCCAAGGACGCCGACGTCTCCGGCGCCTGTATGTATGGAAGAGTAACAGTTTCAGTTGCGGTGGCCATTTTGATCGATTATTATCGATTGAAGGTTCATGCATCGAAGACGTACAAGCCGACTCGGACTGCGAAGCAGCCTGGTTGAGCGACATCCGCGACTGTGATATACTTGGGCTTTCCTCGCCAGCATTCGACAACTTCCCCGCATCCCTAGTCCAAACAGCCTGCCCACCGATCCGAGGAATCTGGAAGACCGACGATGAGCCGATAAGTCGCTGTCAATCTAGGCATTATTAATCCGCTGCCACCCTGGTGGAGTCGCAGGAGCGCATGCCATCGGCTGGGTGTCTCTACCGGAGAGCTGGAAACACTGCAGGACCGACATCGGGCATTATCTTATCGTACAAGTAGTATCATCTTATTGGTCGTAAGGAAGTAATATCTTCATGTTGGACCGACAGTCTCCTCGATGTCGCGCAGGAGAGGATTCATGGTGTGGGGCCGAAACTGTCATCAAGATGGAGACCGATGAGGCAATCCGGTCTTGCCCAGAAGAGGTGGGAATGGGTGGTATCAGGCCTTGCCCAGGCTCTAGGTATGACAAGGGTCTGTGTTCATGGACCTATTTCCGAGAACATATAACTAAAGTCACATGCATGATACCGCCATCTTGGATGTGAGATATCAATTTCGTTTGGTGTTATTTCGACGGTGTAAAGCTCGATGGCGTCACAGACAGACGCTCAAGATAGCCCCGAGGGTCCTTTGAGACTGGAAGAGTCGGAGAAACATGATCGTTATCAATCCTCAGTTCTGGAGGCGGTCGGAGACCACGCCCAGGTGATTGATCCTGAGATCGAGGCTCGAGTCGTGAGGAAGATTGATCTCTTTCTGATGCCAGCGATGGTCATTGGTAAAGATGGC